AGAGAGAGAGAGAGAGAGAGAGAGAGAGATTGAGAGAGTCCTGGTGTGGCATTATGGGTTAATACGTTAATATGCTGGACTGCTAAGTCTCTTTGAACCACAAGGTCAACAGTTCAAGCTCATCAGCTGCTCCTTGGAAACCCTATACAGGGTCGCTGTGGGTTGGAATCGACTAGACGGCACTTAACAACAACAACAACATTATATAACATAATGGTGGTTATTTTTATATCAATGAAAATTATAGACCAACAAATTGGAATAATTTATTACACAATTTCTATAAAAAATTGCAATGTATACATGAATCTTAATACTTACATATTTTCCAAATACCAAGGATGCCAGCAAGTCAAACAAAGCATAGCATCCAAAGATCATACCAATAACTGTATTGCTGGCTCCTTTCTTTTCAGCCTTGAAAGAAAAGGGAAAGAAAACAAAGTTTGAAAGACAAATTAGTATCAATATGAAAAAATGAAATTATTAGATCAGAGACTTCTTGTAACGTTTATCTGTGTAGCAAATTCAAAGGTCATTATTTTTAAATAAACGTGTTGGAGGAAGAAAAGAAGCTCTAGAAAATCTGGCTTATAACATGAAAATAATTTATTCACCAAGCTAATAAACATTTGTTTGCTATAAATACATATTAGAAATAGAGAGCACAGACAAATGCTCTAGGATGAGAAAATTTGGGCTCTGCTTTACCCAGGAGACTGAGGAAACAACTATCCTGGTATCACATTAGTTACAGAATCAGACACCTTTGAAAACAAAAAAACACTTTGACAATCAAAATGCTCAAGAAGGAGCTATTCTGTGAGCTGGTACATGGCCATACCAAGGCCTATCCCAGCAACTCCTCTGTTTACTGTCATTAGTACCAATAACCCTGGGTTGTGCAAATGTTCTGTTATTACCTGAAAGGTTAGCAGTTCAAGTCCAACAAAGATGCCTTGAAAGAAAGGCCTGGCAATCTGCTGCCGAAAGACCAGTCATCGAGAACACTGTAGAGCAGGTCTACTCTGACACACACGGGGTCACCATGAGTCAGACTTCACCTGACAGCAACTGGTTTTTACTGGTACCTGACATTTTTGAGAAGATAAAGTTTTCTTTCCAGACATCAAAAACACAGATCAAAAACATTTCCGTGACACTCTGTGTTCTCCTAAAGCACCTAGGGTAACTGACTACCCATCAATACTAACTGTTAATGTTTATATATTATTCTAAAAGTGAACTCCTACATTTGCTACAGGTTACGAATCAGGCTGCAAACCGCAAGGTCAGCAGTTTGAAACTACCAGCTGCTCCGTGGGGGAAAGATGAGGCGTTCTGCTCCCATAAATATTAACAGCCTTGGAAACCCTGTGCAGGGTCGCTATGAGTCAGAACTGACTCCATGGCACATAACAACAACAACATGTAAAGTATTTATCCTAACTATACTTCTTGTGAACCTCAAATGATACTCTTAGGTTGTGATATACAATTGAATTCATGTTCATAAATAGAGCAGGTTTTTAAAATGTTTTAAACTATGTCAATATTGTAGATCTAAGATCAGGTTCTAGCTACAGCAATCTGAAGAGTTAAAATACGATTTTAATTCCTTTAAGACAATAGACAGGATTTTCAACTTCACATACAAGGAGCACAAAGTTTGTCCTCTCCATCAGTCATTTACATAAGCAATTTCTTTATGCCAGACACTGTACCAAGAAGTCCGCCATCCACATTTACTGTCAGAAGAGTACAATCTACATTTATCTTATGCTAGGCTTTCATATCATTCACAAACAACTTTCACACAGAAATACACACATACACTTTCCCACACTTTAAAATCAATTGTCTGTAACAGTTATCATCGTATTTCATTTCCTTTTCTCCTCCACAAGCCTAAGCCAATTTTTGTTTGTTTGTTTGTTTCTCTATTGCTCCCTATGTAAAGAAATCATCATAATTTGATCCTTGTCTTTGTCAAGGATATTATTTTCATGCCAGATTATGTCTTATTAAATACACCCTGCATTTCTCAGAAATACAATCAGAATGTTCCTTATAAGACAGACTAACACTTACTTTGCATACAACATCAGAAATGGTTGGTAAAGGAGAGAACTAATAAAAATGAAGGACACTCTCAATGAGATCGCCTACACAATATCCATAATATTACACAAAATAAACTAATGATCCTGACAGTGGTGCAGGATTTGGCAACATTTCCTTCTGTTCTGCAGAAGGTTATCAGGAGTCAGCAATTAACACCACCACCAATAAGCGAAACTTGAGGAAGGCCCCAGAAATATGCTCTTTAGCCACATGATGGTGGGGAAAGCACAGAGGCCCACAGCACTGCAGTACTTGCTTGTTGTTGTTGTTAAGTGCCTTCAAGTTGGTTCCGACAACATAGCGACCCTATATAGGGTTTCCAAGGAGTGGTTGGTGAGCTTGAACCACCAACCTTGTGGTTCAAACTGACTTTGCAGTCCAGCGCATTAACCCACAGTGCCACACCAAGATACCAGTATTTGCTTAGGCAGGCTTTAAACCCATAAATCTACGGGATTCAAAATAAGCCATTACTTTGAAAATATTCAACCACATGAGATAATGATGTGAAGATATAGAAATATTATTATAAAAGATACCTATACAGTTATCTTGGAGTCCTGGTGTGGCACTATGGGTTAATGCACCAGACTACAAAATTGTTTGAACTGCAAGGTCGGAGGTTCAAGCTCACCTTGGAAACCCTATACAGGCTCACTATGGGTTGGAACCAACTTGACAGCATTTAACAACAATAATACACTTATCCTAAGTAAAGGTTATATCACATGTACACTGAGACATAAATTTTATATTTCTACTCAAGGTCACCAGTTCGAGCCCACTAGTTACTCTGTAAGAAGGATGAGGCTTTGTGCTCCCACAAAGATACGTTGGTTACAATGACAGATATGAAAAGTATTTACTTCTAGAGTGCAGGAGAAAATAGAAAGTGATATTGGCAACTCATATTTATTGGACCATCACCATAAGCCAAAATCACTATGAGGGGCTATCTTACTTGGTATCCCACAACAATTGAATAAGAGATGTATTTGCAGCTGGAGTACTGAACCCACAAGGTCAGTGGTTCAAACTGAGTTGTGCCTTGGAAACCCTATATACAGTTACTATAAATCAGAACAAACTCGATGGCACTTAACATTTCATAGAAGAGGGCACTGACCAGGTTGAGCCCACTAGCTGCTCTGCTGAAGGAAGATGAGACTTTCTGCTCCCATAAAGATACACTGGTTGCAATAACAGATATGAAAAGTATTTGCTTCTAGCGTGCAGGAGAAAATAGAAATTGGTATTGGCAACTCATATTTTTTTTTAATGTTTTATTGTGAATTATGTGATAGTTTACATGGGAGAACATTAGTTTTACATTCATTCTATCCTATATTGCCTCATTGCCATGGTGACAATCCTCTCCATGCAATCCTTCCCCCGTACCCACCAGGTCTTCAGCACACAGTCGCTCTCCCTCTCTGGATCTAAAGTCTCCAGCTGCTCCATCGCTCCACGTCATCATCTCTGGCTCCATTTCAGGCATCACTGCTGCTCTGGGTAGGGTCCCCGCTCTCTGCTCCTCTCCCTTGATGGTCCTAGGGCTCTCCGCTTCTAGACTGAAAAGTTATTCACTCCCCTCCTTTCTATAAAACATCTACCTTTACATTTCCAACCCTCACAATCAGTCCTGATAACAATTATTCACTATTGTATCACAAGAGACCCGTCTGCATTTCATTGCATCAGCCCCGCCTAGTCAGATTGAATACTACTCACTGGAGATTCTACCTTCCTCCAGGCCCTCTGGATCTAGGTTCCCTCTTGAAAGCTTGTAAGCCAGTCACTTCTTGCCTTTGTAGCCCCCCACCCCCCATTTTGGGTAGCCAATGTCCAAGTTGCCCATCCCTGTCTACTCTGTGTGTGGAGGGGGTGGGAATGATTCTTGCTGTAAGGACTTGTTCCTTCTTTTGAGCTACTGCTTCCATAGATGTAGGTCAAGTTCATCAAATTGTATGAGAATACTTTCTTTTTTTTTTCCTCTTCTTTTTACTTCTGGTTGAGCTCTGATCATCCAGTCACCGAAGCCAGGATAAATGGGTATTATCTGCAAGTGTGGGTGTTCTTATGCATATGCCCTCTCTTCTTATCAGCTGGATGCTTCACTCTCCACTCTAGTCCTCTGTCACTGACTCTGGGCCCAAGAGTCTCCAGGTCTTGCCACACTGCTGGCCAACCAGGTCTTCACCCGGGTTCACAGAAGTCTATTGAACGTTGTAGGGCTTAGCTCACCGCTTCATTGCTGTTTTTCCCTCACTTCCCCTTATCGGTGTTGAGCATGGTCACCAATCACAGCATGTATTCCCATTGAGTCTTAGTCTTGGAAGGGGGTTTGCACTGAGGGAACCCGACCACTTGCCTTGATGTTTCCGGCACCTCATAGTTATTGGACCATCACTATAAGCCAAAATCACTACGAAGTGCTGTTTTACCTGGTATAATAAATGGTGGTGCAATGGATAATAATTTGACTGCTAACCAAAAAGTTGATAGTTCAAATCCACCTGCCACTCCACAGGAGAGAGATATGGAAGTTTACAAATTACAGGCTTGGAAACCTTATGGGCCAGTTCTACTCTGTCCTGTAGCGTCATTAAGAGTTGGAATCTCTTCAATGAAAACAGGTTTGGCATTTAAAAATAGAGAGACAGCCCTTTGATCCCCAGCTTCCAGGCAGACTCTAGGGTTATTGTCTTTGAGTCTGGTCCATTATCTATAAATCCTAACACCTACGATTAGAGAAATTAAGCAATATCACCTAGAATTCTTCCTTTGTTCAGTGCAACTCAAATCAAGGATTCCCCTTGTGTCTATATAGTCTTTCTGGCTGTAGTCTTGGAAGTCCCAAAAAAGAACTGGCTAGAGCTAAACAAATAAGGTATATAAAGTCCTTGCAGGGATAGGACAGTTTAATTATGCAAATAAGGTGATTGTAGCCTACCCACGTTTTTCCATCCTTCAGTTCAAACAAACCCACCAGCTGCTCCTTAGAAACACTACTCAAGGTCACTATAAGTCAGAACTGACTTGATGGCACTTAACAACAACAGCAACAACAAGGCTTAAAAGGAAACCTGGTATAACACTGTATGATAAACACTGGGCTGCTAACCGCAAGGACAGCAATTCAAACCCACCACTCACTCTTTGGAAACCCTATGCTGGGTCGCTGAGTTGGAACCCACTGGGCAGCACTTAACAACAATAGGTTTAAGAGGGAGAATGCCACCAAGATTAAGGGGACATCACTACCATCCGAAAACAAAAGGAGAATACACTGTGTTCTTTGAACCCAAGAACCTGGGGTCCCTGCATTGAGAACCTCCTAGACTCAGAACAAGGAGCGTCTCTTGAAGATGGTGAGAGACAGAGGAGTGGAGCCTGTCTGGCCCATTGAGGGAGAGCTGAATGCCTTTGGGCAGGGGGCTTGCCTGCAGAGCTAAAAGAGCTTTAACACTGACCATGGATGGCCGAGGCCTGAGTGGCCCTAAGTTGGAGGATCCTGTGCAGGTGTCTTCCTACAGTAGGGTACAGCCAGATGCCTTGAGCAGGAAGCTTGCCAGCAGAGCTAAAAGAGCTGCAACATTTGCTTGTGCTGGTCAAGAGAAGCCTGAATATGCCCCATGTAGGAGCTAGACGCCTCCCCAGGTAGCATGGCAGCAAGAGAGCCCCGAAGTCCTGGGTAGCTCGGTGGGAGGCAGCGGCAGAGGCTTAAAAGGGCCCACTTCCAGTGGCTCGGAGACCCTGTGCAGAGCTCTTCCTGACAGCAGGGAGGCTCAGTGATGCCCAGGGGCAAAGCAGAAGCCTCGGGAGTTGTGTCACATGGTGGCCGCTGAAGACAGTGGCAGCATGAACACAGCATTTGATATAACTGCCCAGTGACTAGAATGAACATGAGTAATCTGTAAGAAATTCTCCTTTGAGAAACTATTATTATTAAATGTTTGCTGTCTACAAATAATAAGGATTTTCATTTTGGCAAAACTGTGCATCTTGTGAGTTCATCTTAATCAGAGATGAAAACGGCACTCACAGAATATAGACTAGTTGATGCCAGTGGATGTATGCGTCTCATTCCTAATAGTTTGAAGGCTGCCTCTAAGTTTGAAGCACAGGATATCAGCATGTACTATGTGGATAGACAGACATGTGCATTCAAAATTCAAGTTAGAAAAGGGAATACAGCAGACCACACCTTCTTAATTCCAAACTATTAATAAACCAGAAGCAACAGGCCAAACAGGGAGTGACCATCTTACTACAGACCTTTTGCAGTAATATTTCAATTTCCCTTATTCGATGTATCCTCATTTTTCAGTAGTAGAAGTCAAATAAAGATTAATCAAACTACATAGTTAGCAAAGTCATGCAGTTATATTTAGGTCAATTACCTTCCAAGAAGATGTTCTTTTTGACTGGATTGGTTTTTTTTTTCCTCCAGGTATCAAATATTACGTATGTATCCTATCAGCTGAAGTTCCATATATCACATAGATTTTTATATTTTACACACTATACAATGAAATAATTCAGAAGTCATTTTTAAATTTAGAGCTTACAAACATATAAAATGTTCTTACCTCCTTGGGAAAAAAGGGTCCAAGAATAGAATAGCACATACTGGAACCCAAGTTAATGGATGCTGCGGATATCAGTGTAAAAAGCTGTTCTCTTGAAAGCCTTCTGGGGGCTTCTCTTGCAGTTTCCAGAGGGTCAGCATCTTAAATGCAAACAGACCATGGTTGTGTAGTCATTAGGAATCGGGCTGCTAACCTCAAGGTCAGCAGTTTGAAACTACCAGCTGTTCCACAGGAGAAAGATGAGGCTTTCTGCTCCCATAAAAATTTATAACCTCAGAAACCCTGTACAGAGTTGCTATGAGTCGGAACTGACTCCACAGTACTTAACAACAACAACATAGAGTCCTGGTGTGGTGCCATAGGATAAGCACTTAACCTCAAGGTCAGTTTGAACCACAAGGTCAGTGGTTCAAATTCACCAGTCACTCCTTGGAAACACTATATATGGTCCCTGAGTCGGAACAGACTCGACAGCACTTAACAATAATAAAGTAGATATGAGATAGAATCAACTTAAAGGCAGTGGAAGGGTAGAAGGAAATGTTCCCAAGAGGAGTTCCTGGGTGGCACAAATATTTAAACACTGGAAAGGCTGGCAGTTTGAACCCATCCAGAACCACCTAGGAAGACAGTTCTGGCAATCTGTTTTAGAAAAGGCCACGGTCTTCAAAACTCTATACCGTGCAGTTCGCCATGACTCAAACAACAACAAACGGATGCACAAAAGATTTGCTCTTGACGGTTTACCAAAAGGGGGCGTGGTTTGAACCCACCAGTAATTCTGTGAAAGAAAGACCTGGCTGTCTGTAAAAATGATAACTCAGAAAACCTTATGCAGACCTTCTAATTTGCAATACATGGGGTCACTATGATTTAGAATTGATTCAGTGCAGAGGGGCTTAGGAGCTGGGACTAGTAATTGAAGTGTACAGTGGCCATTCCAGTGTACAGAAGACCATTTGCTGAACTAAGGCCTATTTTTAAATAGTACATTTGATCAAATGGAGCATAATCCCTGCACATAGCTGCAATTTAGAAAACATGGAGTGGTGGTGGAGGTGATGTGCCGTGGAGTCAGTGCCCACTCACAGCCCTCCTGCATCGGGTTCCCGAGGCTGTAAATCTTTACGCGAGTAGAAAGCCTCATCTTTCTCCATTGTAACAGCTGGTAGTTTCAAATTGCTGACCATGAGGTTAGCAGCCTGACTAACAGTAGTGGTTACTAGTAGTAGTAACCACTACTATTCACTGTTAGAATTTCCAAGTAGAATTTATCAAGCCATCTAATCTGTCTTGCCTTTACCATAATAACTCCCTTCAGGAAGGATGTAGCAGCAGGCTGATTCCCCCAAAGTATTTGTTCTCTAGAATATAGTGTTGTTGCTGTCATGTGCCATTGAGTCAGTGCCGAATCATGTTGCCCCTGGATAAGATTTCCAAGGAGCAGCTGGTGGGTTTGAACAACTGAACTTGTGGTTCATAGTCCAGTGCTGATCCTGCAGTGCGACACCAGAAATTCCAGAATATAATATCCCTCATTAATTTTTCAAGTTACTCTCTTTACATAAGGAGCCCTCTCATAACATAGTGGTTAAGGCTCTGGTGCCAATCAAAAGATTGTGCCCCCTTCCCAGCTCCCTTACTCCCCTATCCCCCCAGCACCACCCTCTCCACCCCCAGTGATTCTAAGAAAAGACTTGGTGCTCAGCCCCCTTAAAGATTACAGTTTAGGCAACCCTGGACAAGACAGCACACAACTACCTTCATTCTCTGCGATCGTTCAGTTAAGGCTTTAAGATTTCCTAAGCTTTCTAGTCCTGGTGTGGCGCTGGGGGTTAATGTGTCAGACTGCAAAGCCGGTTGAACTGCAAGGTCGCTGGTTCAAGCTCACCAGCTGCTCCTCGGAAGCCCTATACAGGGTCGCTATGGGTCGGAATCCACTCAACGGCAATTAACAAAAACAACAAACTTTCTAGGGAATACTAAAGTCAAGTAAATGTAAATCATTCCGTTGGTGAATTTATACCTAGACTAGTATACTCCTTAGAATACATAAATTAATATATTTTAATCCATAATTAATATATTTTAACAAGGATTAATGGTCTTTTTCATGCCTTCATTTAGCATTTATTCCCAGGGCTAAATTTTCATTGGATTTAAAGACACCAGGTAAATCACTCAGAGTGTCAAGTATCTATCAAATCCATTGTTGTTATTGTTAGGTGCCATCGAGTTGGTTCCCACTCATAGTGACCCGTATAGGGTTTTCCAGGAGCGGCTGGTGTGTTTGAACCACCGACCCTCCGGTTCAAACAACTTGCGGTCCAGTGCGTTATCTGACAGCGCCACACCAGGGCTCCATCAAACCTGTTAGCCTTCTGAGAATCAAAAGAGCATAAGGGGAAGAAAAAGATATTTTATTTGCTCAGGAAAAGAAAATCTGTGCTACGTGAATCTTTGTAAAAGTTTCAGAAGAAATGAGGAAGGGAAAATTAGGGAAAGTTAAAAGGGGGAGGGCGGGCAACAGGAGGTTCTAGAAATAGATTTTTCCGCTTTTCTAATGGCATACTAATTCGAACATATTCTCAATCACACAGCTATAGGAATGAAAGTCATTAGATATGATATGTACAGTCCCTGAACTTTAACCCCTCTCCGAAGGTAAAGAGCTGTAGGATCAGCACTGGACTGCTAACCGCAAGGTCAGTGGTTCAAACTCACCAGCTGCTCCTCGAAAACCACAGACAGGGTCGCTGTGAGCGCAACTTTCTCCAGGGCACCTAACAACAACAAAGGGTAAAGAAAGCTGATCCGTCGCCCAAGTTCAGGCCCCAGCTTTTCTGAATCTCTTGGAAACAAAGCAAGTGAAAGCTAATTCAGTTTTTGATAAGGAGACAGGATGCACGACTCCGGTCGCACCCCGCCTCCGGTCCGCGTTACCTCCTGGGGAGTGTGGACCCTCGGGGTCCTTGGGCGCGTCCATGTGGGTGCGCAGTTCCGGCCGCCGCTTGGGCCCTAGCGCTCTCGGACTGGATCTTGGAGGAGAAGACGAGCGGACACACTGACAAACCGGCTGCGGCTGCTCAACCGGGCCCCGGCATCTCCGTTTCCTCCTGTCTCCGCTCAGGCCTCCAGCTCCCGGCCATCGGCTAGGACACAATCCGCCCCGGGAGGTCAGGGCCGGGGCGGGCCGGGGGTGTGTCGGGGCGGGGCCTTACTTAAAACGAAGGTTACTATCTGTAACTATGTCCTTTTTTATTATATATGCGAAAAAAGAAAAGACGAACTCATATATCGTGCAGTTTAGCCCCTTCATCCTTAAAATGAGTTATTTATTTGGCCCATCAAAAGTAAGAAAGGACTGTGCAATTGCCGAAAAGATTGCTAATGTTGGTTTTCTCGGAGCCGATACCAGCTCCGAGACCCTTGTGACAGAGTAGAACTGTCCCCTCGAATAAGCCCTGGGTTGCTAACAGCCAGGTCGGAGGTCCAAAGCCACCAACTGTTCCTTAGAAATCGTATACATGATCTCTATGAGTTGGAACAGATTGGACAGCACTTAACAACAATAATCTTTATGAAGCAGAAAAGGTTGTTGTTGTGAAGTGCCGTGGAGTCGATTCCGACCCATAGCGACCCTGTATAGGGTTTCCGAGGAGCAGCTGGTGAGCTTGTACCGCGGACCTTGCAGTTCAAAGGACTTTGCAGGCTGGCGCATTTACCCACAGCGCCACACCAACAGCAGAAAAGGTAGGGAGTGCTTAAATCCAAAGACATTAAATATTAGCTAAAACATTAAGTTCATACTGAATATTTTGAAGAGTGTGTTATTTTTCACAGTGGGTAAATGCGATAGTATTTGTATTTAATGAAGCCATCATTAGGAAACTGGTCATAAGTTGCCAGATTCCAGACATCAGAAGTAGAAAAATAGTCGCATGAATGATTATGAGGAAGCACAGTAGTGTGGCTAGGAGTCCATCCCTTAAGATAGATGTGTGGGTTTCAATCAGGTTACTTACTAGCTGTGTGTGTGAGACCTTTGGGTAGGAGACACTGTCAGCTGAGTTTACAACGCTTCTCTTGGGGAACGACTGTTAATCTAAATGTTAAGTGTTTTGACAAGTGGTTGGCAAGCCAACATGATAACTGTTGGCCTTGCTTTTACACTCAATTTTCTGACAGAAAAAAAAAAAGTGAAAATAAGTGAAATTTATTTTTACCTTGTTCATTAACTAGGAGGGTTTAAGTTTTGGAGACTGGGAAATTTTTTATTGGGGGCCAAGGGAAAACAAACAGACTTACTACCTAGTGAATTTACAGATGAATGAGTCCCATTCAGCCTCTCTTTGCCCTCAAGTAGACACTGATCACTAATTTACTAGGATTTTTGTTGTTGTTGTCAGGTGCCCTTGTGCCCATACTGACTCACAGCGACCCTATGAACAACAGAACAAAATACTGCCTGGTCCTGAGCCAATCTCACAATCGTTGCTACGCTTGAGTCCATTGCTGATGCTTCTGTGCCAATCCATCTCCTTGGGGGTCTTTTTCTCTGACCCTCCATTTTACCAAGCATGATGTCCTTCTCCAGGGGCTGGCCCCTCCTAATAATATGTCCGAAGTATGAGAGACGAAATCTGACCACCCTGGCTTCTAAGAAGTATTCTAGCTGTACTTCTCCCAATATAGATTGTTTGTTCTTCTGGCAAGCCTTAGTACTTTTAATGTTCTCCTCCATCACCATAGATCAAATGCATCAATTCTTCTAAGGTCTTCTTTATTAATTGTCCAACTTTTGCATGCATATGAGGTTATTGAAAATACCATGGCTTGGGTCAGGCACACCTTAGTCCTCAAAACTGACATCTTTGCTCTTGAATACTCAACAGAAGGATTTGCTCCAGCAGAGGCTTCTCAGGGTGACCTTCTAGAATCTTCATGATCTTGTCTCCAATCTCATTTTACTCAACCCTCCTGTTCCTTCTCTAATTTAGTATCATATTATAGGGAAATTTGCTTGATTTTTTTCTTTGATAATTATACTCCCTTTCCCCCCCACTTTTCTGGAATTTTTAAAATGTAGATATTGGATTACTGACAGTGGTTCTTTTATTTTTACTTTTTATCATTCCTTTTTAGCTTCACTTTAAAAGGAACTTACCCAAATTGATTTTCCCCAGCTCTTACCGAATTTTTGTTTCTGTTGTCACCTCTTTCCCTCTAGCCACACACCCCCACCCCATCTGGAAACTTTCTGGCATATTTAATACATGTATTTTGATTTGCATACATTCTCATGAAATGTGTATTTCTTTGTGTGTGTGTGTCCACATATTTAAACATACATAATGGGTTTTGTGATTCACACACACACACATACATGACGGTAAATAAAGAAGTGTTGCTACTAGGGTTTCAGTTGCTACTAGGGTTTCAGTACAGGTTTATTCCAAACAAAATGTGTTTCAATGTCTCTGTAATCAATGATTTGTTATGTATTTGTCTTAGTCTTTTTCTGCAATATTCTTGTCTTAGTCTCATTAGGGACTCCTGGTGTGGTGCTATAGGACAAGCACTGGACTACAAACCACAAGGTCAGTGGTGCAAACCCACTAGATGCTCCTCAGAAACCCTATACAGGGTCACTATGAGTCGGAACTGACTCGAAGGCACATAACAACAACAACAAAGCAGTCTCATTAGAGTGCCATCAAAAACAAAGTCCAATCAAAACACTGGCTGCTGAGGAATTCTGCTAGTCAGTTAAATTCAAGGCAGAGAGATCAGCTCAGAAAATTACGGTGACTGCTTTTTGGGATTTTGATGGGGTAATATTGATAGATTTTCTCAAAGGACATAAAATAATCACAGGGGCTTATTTTCAAGAAGTTTTAAGAGAACTGAAAACTACATTAGTGAGAAAAGTTGTTCTGAGGAATTTTTTTTCCCATCACGACAATGCACCTGCTCATTCTCTAGGGTAGCGAAGGCTGTCTTATGAGAATTTCATTGTGAAACCACAACTCATCTACCTTGATCTCGCTGCTGCAGACTCCTTTTTGTTCCCTGAATTCAAAACATTTAAAAGGAAAATGATTTGATTCTTTCAAAAGTGCCAAAACTGCCATTTTAAAGCAGTGTGAATGGAAGAGCACAGCATTCTCAGGGAAAGGTTGGAAAGACAGAAACACTGCCTTTAGAAGTGGGTAGGCTAGAGGATAGGTCAAGAAACACTAGCTTCACATTTGGACATTTTTTAATGAAGCTGTTTCTACAATTTCATAGCAGTGCTTATTTTGACTTACCATCAGATGTTTACTTTTGGTCATTTTTCAGTGTCTAGTTGTTCTGCTTTCTAAGCCATCAGTAGTTTCCAAGAAAGGCCTTTTTTTTTTTGGTTTATATTTGCTAGAGCTCATTCTATTATTTACAAATAAAGAGGTTGTCTAACCTGGAGACACAGGTTAGACAACCTCTTTATTGAACCACCGACCCTCCAGTCCAGTGCGTTATCTGACAGCACCATGCCAGGACTCCATCAAATCCATTAACCAAGCCATGGTATTTTCAAAAGTTGGGCAATTAATAAAGAGGACCTTAGAAGAATTGATGCATTTGAGTTACGGTGATGGAGTAGAACATTAAAAGTACTGTAGCCTGCCAGAAGAACAACAACAGCTCAAAGGCATGTAGCTGAAAGTCATGTGATACCAGATAAATAAATTAGCAGGAGACCTGGTGTGGCGCTGTGGGTTAATGCGCCAGACTGCAAAGCCACTTGAACTGCAAGGTTGGCAGTTCAAGCTCACTAGTGGCTCCTTGGAAACCCTATACAGGGTCGCTATGGTTCAGAACTGACTCGATGGCACTTAACCACACAGCATAGATGTTCAAAATTGAGTAAAAGTTCAAAATAATGTTTCAAAATAACAAAATAAAAAGCACAACCTAAAAGAGTCCTGGTGTGGTGTTATAGGAAAAGCATGCGACCACAAGGTCGGTTTGAACTGCAAAGTCTGTGGTTCAAACTCACTAGCCGCCCCTCGGAAATCCTATACAGGATCACTATGAATCGGAACCGACTCCACAATGGCACTTAACAACAACATATATGCATATATGAATTTCACTGGTTTTCTTCTCCAGAGAACCCAGCCTAAGACATGTGGATACAATTTTCATTATTCTAACCCCTCAACTGATTAATTTTAATGTGAATTTAGGGCTTGCTTTATTGACTATTACTCTTTATTTATAAGCGGCCTGTGTTACTGATTTACGGAGTCCTGGTGTGGTGCTACAGGAAAAGCACTGGACTGTTAACAGCAAAGTCAGCAGTTCAAACCCACCAACTGCTCCTTGGAAACTTTACATGGGCTCACAATGAGTTGGAAACAATTGGCACTCAGCAATAACTGGTTTATAGTTATTCATAAACCTTAAGTATCATCTTCTCCTTAGTCTTGTTCCCATGAATTCTGACCAAGCCCTGTACTGAGCCCCCTCAGTACCCATATAACTCTGGGTAGCATTCATTAGCAATAAAAACAAGGGGACGAGGAATTATTCTTAGTCAGATTTACTGAAAACTTAGATGAGAATTATACAAAACCTTCCAAACATAGACTATTGGCATGGGCTTCATATTTGGCTATATAATAATCTGACCACATTCCTCTCTACAACCTTTTTCTTTTCTTTAATAAACTGGACTTTCCAATGTAAGCTTTTAATTACTAACTTTACAAGCTACTAAAAGGATTTCTGTGGCATTGTAGGATCAGCACTGGACTGCGAACCACAAAGTCGGTGGTTCAAACCCACCAGCTACTCCTCGGAAACCCTATATAGGGTCGCATTGAGTTGGAACTGACTTGAAAACACTTACCAACAACAAATTCTTTTTAATTAATCTTGCTGGAGCAATGGTTAAGTGCTCGGCTATTAACCTACAGGTTCTCCCAGCAGTTCCATGGGAGAAGGGCCTGTTGTTCTGCATACATAAAAATTAGAGCCAAGAAAACCGATGCGGTAGTGCCACTCTGTCACTTGGGGTTACTAGAGTTCCTAGAATTGACTGGATGTCACTCAGCAACACCACCATCTACAATTTTCTTCTAAAACAGTTATTATTGGGTATTAGTGA